TGCAAAAAGTTACTTCCGTTTTCTATAATTGTATTTTAAGTACTGTATTGTAAGTACAGTAATACTTTACAAATTATTACACCGTATTATAACAAAACCGTCTAAAACGTAAATTTTGAAGAAATTAACCTTGCGACTTGCACAACATATGCAGTAAGTTGTATGTAAGGTGTTGAACTTAATTATAAGTTCAGTATGTGCTTCATTGTTACCGCAATGCCGTAATCATGCTCCCAATTTCGCAATTAAAGGACAAACGGGTCTGATATAATATATTATGTGAAACTTTTAATATATATATTGAACTTAACTGATTTTTTTTTTGTTATACAGTAGAATATCGATTATCCGGACCTCAGTTGTACGGATTCGTGATTATCCGGACATAAACGCGTCGGAACTTGCATATTCTGATGTGCATATGTACATTAATACATTCTCTGTTTTGACGTGCATATATACATTTTTAAAGTGTGATGTTATCCCTTAAAGATAAAATAAATATTATAGAATCATTAAAAAAAGCGAAACCGGCAGTAAGTTAGCTGATAGGTATGGTGTAGATACATCCATATTTATAAGCGATATTAAAAAGAATGCCGATTCAATTTTGTCGTACACTTGCGAGTTAGATAGTAAAGATGGGAGTGAAAATCGGAAAATGGTGAAGAGACCGAAAAATGAACTCTTAGAAGAGGCCTTATATTGTTGGTTTTTACAAAAACGATCAACAAATTATTTGTAAGCAACTTTTCTTCTTCATTGCCACCTGAATATTTTAGCTCATGTTTAATATAATATGTATAATGTAATCTACGAAAATATGTAAGTGTTAATTTTCTAATAAACATCGATTTTTGTTGATATCTATGTATGCATTTGTTATTTTTGATAAATAAAACATTATTCATCATAATTTGGATTATCCGGATTTTCGATTATCCGGATGCCTGTCGACAACAATTAGTCCGGATAATCGAGGTTCTACTGTATATGGCTATATCATGATCAAATATTAATTTATTTTTGAAGTCGTAGATGGCACAAATATGCTTTTGAGCGGTATGGTAGAGAAAACATGCGAGATCAGAAAATTTAAGCAAGATTCTTACTAAATGTCAATTTTGATTGAATAAGTTTCCAAACATGGTTAAATGTGTGCATGGATAAGACAAAATACTGTTTCATAATAATATTATTGATTAAAATGTAAGTAATATGTGAATAAAGAAGAACTTTGTACTTTAATCGGAAATGATCGCGCAATGAAGTTGTAACGAAAAATGCAATCGCTGCAGTAACAGCATGGTTAGAAGCGGAAATGTCAATTCTGACGCAACCCTCTCGCAGTCACATGTCAGATCTAAGTTGTATAATTGTATGAAGTATGAAGTACCTTATCAACGGGCATTGAAGGGCACGCTCTGCACAAGTTCCAAAATGTACCAATCATGAAGAATTTTTGTTTTCTTGTTTAATAAAGATCCTTCAGATGTTCCGCACGTCGACGGGACCGTGCGATATGTTCGGGTTTGACACACACTTCGTTTCCTCTTTGCAATCTCGCAACGGCGTGTGAGTATTCTATTCGTCACTGGCAAAAGATCCGATCAATGCAACGACGGTGCGCCGTTTCTCTGACACAATGCGGACATTTCGCCGGACTATTATGATGACAGTGCACTGAGTATTATGTCTAAGGGGTTTAGACCGAACAGCCGTCGTAGGCCCGCAACAAACACTGCGTAAAGGTTATAACCCGATAAGGTCACTGTACCCTCGAGTCTCGAGTTGGCACATAACGCTTGCGCGATGGACACTCCCGGTTATATCACGGGGTTCTACGGGTTCGTGCCGTTATCAAACGTCAAACGGGCATGGGAAGGCGGTCGCGCGGTCGCGTACACAGAATTAACGCAAAGCCGGTGAGAGACGCGGCCGTTCTGACAGACACACGATCCGTCGCCGTCCGTTTTCGTGCACGACTGCGGCGTCGCCAGGCGCCCGCCGAACGCGTCTCCTTCCGAAAGCAACCCCATTCGACTTTCCGAAAACCACCCCTCGGCACGGGAGCAGTGATCGCCTTAGTTAGGTGCGCTGCGATTTCTATTTCATTGCACGAAACGTATAAGTGCGATGAAATTGATTTTATCAAATACTGATTAATAATTTAAATGCCAGTTAATAGTTTCACAAAGCGTGAATAGAATATAGTATACTAATTATCATTCGTGCCATATTTACATTCGGTACCTATCTTTGAATGACCGAGATTTACACTGCTAGACACCCATATGTAGCATGTTGGGAACATTTTCTGAATGGTTTCCGAGTGAGACACGTAACAAATATAAACTAGCTGTAAGTGGAATTCTGTCATAAGGCAATTAAGGCATCGTGCCTTACGGCAAATTGCTGATGGATCTTCCCGTACCGCAATTCAAAATTCGAGTAATTAAAAATAATCAATAATAATCAATAAAAGTTGACCAATGATTTGAAACTTTTAATAAAATTTCGAACCATATTAAATCATTCTATCTTAAAGCATTTATTTTGAAATATTTTGAAAATTCTGAACTTTTTTTTCAAAGCAATCGTACTGCTTTAACTGCATAAAGACGAAATATCGAAGCGCGTAAGCGCCGCGTCGCCATCTAACGCGTAAACATTGATACGGAACCCGTAGGAATGTAAACAAAATTTATACTTATTGTTAAGATCTCTATAAAATATCTGATAATTTGATGTGCATATGTCTAATGTTCATTTTTGACCGCCAAATGGCTCATTTTTTTACTTTTTCCTCCATATCTCCAAAGTCGTTGGACCTGCCTTTCGAAAAATTTAAACAGTTCTTTATTTAGTCAATACAAATAAAATGTTTTTTGAATTATTCAAATCGGACGCTCCGTTCTCTTAAAAACTGAGTTACCGTTTTTGGCACTTTTTGCCCCAAATCTTTGGAACGGCTAGACCTGCCTTCACCAAAAACTAATCAGCATGTCTCCTTATCAATACGAATCGAATGTTTTTTGAATTATTCAAATCGCTTCATCCGTGTTCCCGAAATCGTCGACGAAAATTTGTATCCGCACACACACACATACATGAACATACACACACACACACACATACATCCATTTTTTTTAGGTATGCCAAAATGTTCAGAAACCTCTAAAACGTAAAGATATATAAAAATTTTCATTTTCGATTTTTTTGCGATTACTATAACTTGCCCTACGGGAAGTTAAGAAGTAGACTCATTTGTCACAAAATATTATAAACAAAAATTTTATCTAAATTATTTAATTTTACGTAATATTTTATAATGTTTAATTAAAATTAACATTTTTCTTAAAATCAAGTAAATATATTATAACATTTTCACACATTGGCCTACGAGCGAAACAAGTTCGATATTCAAATATATATATAACTGAATTTGCAATATAACATATGAAAAAAATTCAAATAGCAAATTCAAAATGCAGAACGTTTGCAAAACCTGTGACTCTGGTGCACGCCTTCCTGCTACGCTTCAATCGATAACAATATATGCGCCGGGGCCATTAACGAAAACACGACATTGGTAGTTGAATACATTTGTATTTAGTGCACATTGTTTGTGCATATAATTTTCATATCGTGGCTTTTTAAACTTGATCAGATACAACATTTTTTTTTTTTTTTTAATTTTTCTGACAAAAAATTATGCGGTATACCGTGGTTCGACGTAAGGGTAGTTTTCTCAATAAACTTTTGTTGTAATGATACTTATTAAAGATTTTACCTTAATATTTATTTAATTTTTTATTGATAAATCTTTAATTGATTATCTCTATATAAAAAAAGTTCTTAATACTGTTTGTACAATAATATTTTCATCAAATTTGCTCTTTTCTTGATTAGACTTTTATTTACTGACCATGTGCTCTTTATTATTATTTTTATTCTGTTCGAGTAGCCGAGACATGGTCGCGACATTGTCTATGAACTTTTTTTAAAAATAAGAACGCTCGCTAAGCGTACCTATTGTTTAAATTAATTTTGTTTACATCATATAATTCTATATAGATGAAGATTTTGAAATGTAATTTGTTTAACACATAAATTAGGCGAGATATTGTATTGAGATCAAAGCGAGAATAATTGCAGTAAAATCAGCAGAAGCAAGTGTTCAGAATAATAAAATATAAAGCTATAACTACTACAGACAAATTAACGATATCATCGGTAAAATATACAAATTAAACCGATAAAGGCACTGTAAGATCAACCACGTTCTCTACAAGAACTATTTAGAAGCTTATGCAGACTTATAAAGTAACAAGACAAAAACTTATTTTAAACTATAACTTATTTTTCACCAATAGAAACGTAATTTAAGAAGAACATAATGAATTTAAAACATAAAGAAGAAATTAACTGATAAAGTTTAACAACTTATTCAAACTGTTCAGATCGCTGTGCCATCTAGCCTATGTAAAGAGCGCTATATAAAAGTTTCATACAAAGGTTTAAAAAAAGCCCGTCCAACGGTGCACTTCTGTGAAATAGAGATGGATACGATATGGTATTTATTATACTATGAATAATACACAAGAAGCTTCCCAAATCAATGAAAATACTGTTACTTTAAACTAAAAATAGATCCATGCTGATACGCTTAATGTGATTCAATATGATTTAGCATATCGAAACATTTTAATTATACTGAAAAATTTATACTGTTTTAAGTTGTAAATAAGTAGCTTATTGAAAGTAATTCTCATATTATAAAACTATTTTATGAATTTTTAAAAGTATCAAATAATGGTATCTTATTATATTGAAACTACTGCAAAAATTATGTACATATGTATTGACTTAAGTATGCATGGTTGAACAATAATAATGCATATTGACCTAAATATTCAAATTTATTTGTTATATAAATATAAAATATTTTTAATATACTATACAGCTTTACAATATAAAATATACACGTCATATAAGATTTACGTAAGACAAAATTCCTTTGTCTCCATAGGTTTATCAGTCCACAAGTCGAAATAGTTATTTCGAAGTACATTCCATACATTTTGATATGTGCTGGACATCAATTTGACTGTTAGGTAACTTTTTGTCAAATCTGCTTGATGCGAATTAAAAATCTCTTTACAAATATCTGGATAAAGTTCCATGACTTTGAAGAACATTTCATACAGTCGTTTTCTACAAATTAGTGATGCACCCTTCCCCTCTTTCAATTTAGCCTTAGTAACCCCCTGTTTTGACCCATTAACAATAATTTCTAAAGGATTATCTTTAGCCTTAACCCAAACAATGCCCGAGGGGCAAGGTTGTTCAGTAATACTTGTTCTTGCATGAACAAATTTTATTGTATTACTTGCTGCTGTTATCTTAGGAGTATTTATTTTATACGGTTGATTTAAAGAAATCTGTTTTTCAGCCCACCTACCCAAAATTGCCCTCTGCAGTGCTTTAAGACACAGAGGAGAATCTTGCGTTATTATTATTGATTCAAAATATATAGGTTCATCTAGTATTAAAAGCAAAAGTGCGCCTTGCACACCCATTATATTCCAACGTGAAAGTTTATCACTACAAGATACAGATAATGTAGGATCTCCTCTGCCAGGTTTTGTTCGAATTGCTCCTAAAACATGAAAATCAGCGCCCGATCCCTTGGAATCTGTTATTAGACTTGATTCTAAGCATTTTGCACCTGTTCGATAAATATCATTGATTACATTATTTACTGTGTGCTCGACTTTTTGTTTTTTCGGACATATTTCTGGCTCATCTAAATTTTTCCTTTTCTTATCTTCATTGAAATGTATTCCTACTGTGGTTGATAAATATTCAGACTTTGGAAATATAGAAGCATCTCCGCAAGGTGTTTGAGTACTGAAAAAATGATAAGAAATATTTAACTTCTTACAGAAAATATGCTTCTCAGAATTATATACAAATATTTCTGATTTGTTAATGATCTGGTCAAACACATATCTTAAAAATCCTCTTCTAGCTAGTACTTCAGAATGACTATCATTTATTTTATCCCCTTTACAGCTCATTTGTGTCCTACCGAGGCATTTGGAACCAGTACCGAGGGATACAAGTTTTAAAGAGTCTTCGATAGAATTATATTCTACAACACAAGATAATACAGTCCATTGCTGACCAGTGGTTGGTTTTCCGGTTTTAGGTAAGGAATTGTAGTGATCTAAGCACAACAGGGCTACTCGATCTTCAAAGGTAGTCATTTAGAAGTATGTACTTTGTATCAATATCAGAAAATAAGCTGATTGAGTTTTAATACATTCTATAAACTAATGGGTACAGTTTCAGTTGATTTTAATCATTAGAAACCTTCAAAACATTTACAAAATTAGATTAGTTTTATTTTGATATTTAAATATTTCTATATACTTCTAGATAACCTTATAAAATACATACATCTAACCCAGAGCTAAACAAAATATTATTGAATTAGATTAGATTGTTGATATTCATATCAATAGTATAGTCATAATATTGTTGTGACTATGCAGATAAAACTTTTGATTACATTACATTCATGAAATGAAAGAATAAATATTTTGAACAAATTATATGAAGTTAATGAGGCACAAATTTCACATGTAACACAGTTTGTATAACTATTAATAAGTAATTTAAGCACTCAAATTTTGAGGTTATGTTTTCAATGTTATCTTTAATCTTGCATTAATAATATGAGGAGTTCCTGCAGCGTTGCTCATATACCGTACAATGAAACCACAATTCTTATATATTTAATAATGTTTTAATTTATGTTTATTTTGTAGCCATAAGATTTTTACTAAAACCATGTTTTTTGACATGCCATGTGTCCTGTTTTCGTTGAACATACATTGTAGAGGGGATTTGACGTTCAATTCCGTCTCTCGGAGTTGCTTTTACTTTTAGTTTTATTGCGTGGATGTGCTCACTTGGAGCGGACGCGTTTATCTATGTTCGGAATAAACAAAAATATTGGTGTGTGTTTTGTTTTGTGTAAAATCAACAAATAATGGCAGCCTTAAGTGAAAATTGTGTTAAACTTACATCAGACGAAAGAGCTGAATTACAAGAACAATTAAGTTCGGTGAGTGAATAAAATTATTATTTAGTTTTTGATGTTTTTGGGACAAAAGTTCGTCGGTACGCAACACATCTGACAACCGGCTTATCGATTTAATTTTTATGTTTCTACATTAAGAAAATAATTAATAAAAGTTATATGCGAATAATATAATTACGACAAATATATTGTTTGACTGAACATTGATTTTATTTGTAATTTTAGGGTTAGGGTTTGGAGACAAAATTGCTCCTTTACTTCTTTATACTGAATAGTTCATTGAATAATAATATTTTTAATTAATTTATAGAATTTTCACGCTAATTTTCACATATTATTTAGTATAATATGACATTTAAATAACATAGAACAACTTTTCAAATATAACTCGTGTATAAAAGGGGTGTGGAACCCTATATTAAATTTGCGTTTTACATCGTACTCGTTCATATGCCATGCAATTTATAATTTACATTTACATTTATATATATTATATATATATATATATATACATATACATATACACATATACATATATTGATTTTCAGCCAATCGTCGAAATAAAATAAAACAATAAATAATAAATTATTTATTTATACGTTTCAACAGTTTTGTGTGTCACCATTCAGCAATTTTTTGATGTATTACAAAGTTTAAAAAATTTTAAATTAAAAATATATTATAGATTAAAAAATGACAAGTAAAAAATTGATACATACCACACCAGGAAAAATAACAAAAATTTAAAAAATATAGAAAATAAACAATAATAAAATAACAATTTTGTTTTAAATTTAAACTAAAAATTTATGTAGTGTATCGTTGCAAGCAAAAAGCCGAACACGCCCGATGCAAAAACCGAAGATTTACTGTAAAATTTAAAAAAATTGCTGAATGATGACACACAACAGTGTCGAAACGTATAAATAAATAATTTTTTAATTGTTTTCTTTTATTTCGATGATTGGCTGAAAATCAACATTCAAGAATATATATATATATATATATATATATATATATTATATATCTGTGTGATATTTTTTTAAATTAAATGTATAACGCAATCAATCCTAATTCTATTATTTTGTTAATTAGATACAATTACAATATACGATATAAAAACATGAAGAAATTAGTTGTGAGTAGCATTTTGCCTTAAGGCAAGTTGCATAAACTTCTTGATTCGTTAACATAATCAACTTAATCAATGAGAATTTAAATTTAGCTATTTAGATAAAATATTCAACTGTTTATTTCGAAAATAACATTTTTGCTTTGAATAAAAAATATTCAATACGATTTCCAATTGATATCTTCTAAACATATTTATAACATCTGTAATTCTATAGATTGAATTAACTTGTTTAAAATATTCCTTTCAATCTATTTCGTGTATAAAAAGGTATTTTATTCAAGTTTAGACGTCTACTGTAATCAGTAGCTACCTACGAAACACCACAGAACGTATATATGCTCCGAAATAGATTCTGATTAGAATCTGATTAGAATTTTTATAATTCAACCGCTTATCGTAGGCTTATGTTATTTTAGTACGTTATTTCAGGCTACTAAATCTATCGTTACACAAAGTTTTATCAAAATCTTTCAAAAGTATTTTTTTCACCATTAATTAGGAAGAAACGGCCCGACCGATTGTTACCAAAAACTAATCAACGCGATTCCCAATCAATATCTTTCGAACAGTTTCTGAATTTTTAAAATTTGTTATAAATTGTGGGCTAAAACGTGGACGAAAAATTTTATACTTTTCTGCTAATTACGAAGAAACGCCTTTGCCGTAAAATAGTGCTAGATTTTATAATTTTTTATACCATCAACAGAATAATCTGTATGCAATATTTTATTTTGAACCAATAAATGCATGTGCTATCATTTAAACATACTTACTACTTAAATTCGAATCTAATTCTGTTAGTTTTTATTTATATACTTATTTAGGCCTATAATATTTTACTGCGTTCTTATGGACTACAAAACCTATCTTTATACAAAGTTTCATCAAAATCATCAAAAATATATATTATCAGATATTTGATAAAGTTTCTAAAAATGAGCACTAATTTTGTTACAACTTTACTTATACGGTTCGAGCAAATTTCAACATTTTCAGAAAAAAAAAAATCTTACAAAATTTTTGAAAATATACAAAGTTTTATACTTCGAATATAAATTTTAAATTTACTATTCATTTTGAAAATGTACATATTTTAAATGCGTTATTCTAATCGTAAGAATTATATCCTCAGATGGATTTATTTGGCACATCTCTTGCTAATGTAAACTTTCTCAAGTGTTTTGAGCGATAAGATCGCCACTGTATATTTTATGAACAATAAAATTGTAATTATAATTATCTATTTGAAAATGTTTAAAACAATTGTTATTAGTCATTGATCAATATTTATTGATTACTGATTTTTTTTCCTCGAATTCTGGTACGGGAAATTCCAGCTATTTGCCTTAAGGCTCGATGCCATGCACACTAGTTTTAAATTTTGTTACGAAGAACAACGCGATTCCCAATCAATATCCTTTGAACAATTTTTGACTTTTTAGAATCGATTAAAAATTGTAGGTTGAAACGTGAACGAAAAATTTTATACTTTTCTGCTAATTACAAAACTAATAATAAACGCTAGTCCATAAAATAGTGCTAATTTTTATTTTTTTTTACCAACAGAATAATTTGTAAGCAATATTTTATTTCTAACCAATAAATGCATGTGCTATACCGCTTAAATAAATAAGTAACTTAAATTTAAATCTAGTTCTATTACTTTTTATTTTTATATTTATTTATTAGTTTAGGACATTTGCAAATTTTCTAATTCACAAATCTCTGTTCTACAAAGACCTTGTATTATACGATGACATGTTAGAAAACAACTCAATAGTTGATTTACCATAATTCTATTACTGATGTTATTTTAAAAATTCTTGCAAACGCCGCAAATCTTTGCGGGAGTCGAAACGCCCGAATCGCTGCGGGGGCGCCTTGCCATGGAATCCGGTTATAAAAAAAATTCAATTGGTTCAAAGAATAATAATTTTGTTGTACATGTTTTAGAAAATCAAATGATTATTAAGTTCAAGCGATAACTTGATTTTTTGTTTTTTTCTCCAAGATCTGGTTTCTATTTCACTTCAAGTGCACGTTCGAAAACCCAGAAGTGATTGTAGATCATTCTGAGCTGCAATGATTTCTCGTGAAGATTTTTTATGGTTCTCAGAAATCTTGTTTATTCTCAAAAATTATGAAAAGCTGCCGTTGTTTTATGAATGATTCAGAAATTTGGTTATGGGTTAAGATAATCGCGGTACGACGATAGCGATGTTAATTTAATTCTTTGGGATATCTTTATACTATTATAACACATACATGACATTTGTTTTCTAGCCTAAGGGAGCAGATAATTACATGATATTTAATTCGTTATTAAACTATGTTTGTATCACGCAACTTGTGTCATTCACACTTTGACT